TTCAGTCGAGCAGTCAGGTATTCCATTTTTTGGATGTCTTTAATTCTGGCATAGAGATCCATGTCTGAGGGAGGAATACTGCGCCTCCAATGTAGGGCAATGAGGCAGCGTGCAGCTGTCAACACATGAGTCGCCAATTATTTCTCGCATTTATGGGGTCCAGCCAAGGGAAGCAAATAATTCAAGGGGGATTTTACAATGCAAAAGACCCTCCAGAAGAGCCTGGACCCTCCTCCAGAAAGGCTTGAGTCTACTACATTGCCAGGAGATATGATAGAGGGATCCGGTCTGGGACAGACATCGCCAACATAGCGATGAGATGTTAGGATTATGGCTATGAAGGAATTCGGGAGTATGGTACCAGTGATAATGTACCTTATACTGATTTTCCTTGTAGATGGAGGACTGTGATACAGATCTCCATATACTTTCCCATTTGAATCTGTGTGATTCCTCACTTAACGACCGAGTTCCGTTCCTACGACCAGGTCGTTAAACGAATTGGTCGTTAAGTGAGGAACTCTATACAGTACTGTACTGCATTAGTACAGTACTGTATAGTGTTGCAGATGTACAGTACCGAACAGTGTACTGTACATCGGGCAATAAAATACTTACCGGGACCCGCAGTGAAGAACGGAGGACATCACTTCCGGCGACACGTCGCGCTGACGCTGACGCGCAAGGTCGGAGGTCGATCGGCGGTCCGTCGTAAGTGCGAGTGGTCGCAAAGCAGGTAAGTCGGAAAACGAGGAATGTCTGTAGTGCGTTTCCTGCAAAAATATGATGTCGGCTTTAGATGCCTTAAATTCTCTCAAGGCTAGGCTACGTTTAGTTGGAGTTGAGTCCCTTGACATTGAGGGAGAGCAATTTATAGTCTGAAAAGGTGGCCATGGGCAATTATAGGAGAACATGGTGGAGAATGTGTAGTAATACCCATAAAGGAAGGGAAGTACTCACCCAGGGAAGGATGCATTCCGAACAGACGGGCCCACCAAATGGAGCAGTCAAAAACGAGGTCGGTAAACAGCAGAACATGAGAGAAAGAGAGAAGAGAAAGAGAGAATAAAAGCCACTGAAACATAAAATAAAAAAAAAAACATTATTTGAAAACCTTAAAACTAAAGGATTCAAACAATAGCAAAAACAGTATATTATATAACCAATTATCTGGGAAATGGTCATATGGGTATATAAGGAGGAGCAGGTGTGGGGGGATGACAGCTGCCGATAGACAGGCACGATCTAAGAATCAAGTTGCTGGAAGACTGCTCAGGTATGCCTGCACCTTCCCCACACATGGTGCTCTATAATGTATTGCTGGGATTTGTATTCCTCTATAGCAGGGCTCAAAATTTCCACTCGCCCCCTCGCAATTGGCGAGTGAAAATTGCGTGGGGGCGAGTGGAAATCCAGTATTTTATTTTGTATCCGATTAATCGTACTTAATAATCGGCTAACTAATTGATTTTGAAAATAATCGTTAGCTGCAGCTCTAATGTATATTAGCAAATATGACCTATAGTACATAGATATATAAATAGATATAGATAGTCATTTTGTACATGGATTACAGCACTCGCCGTAACTTGCTGCATTAATCTTCAGCATGGGGCAAGATTTTATGACGTGTTTCACACTAATTATCACATCAGAGTGATGCATTTCATGCCAAACATAGCTTATTCAGTGCTGCTTAATGCACTCTGCTAAAGTACAATACATTATTTATGCAGCAACATTGTAGTCAATGTTTCAGAGAGGACTATGCTTACACAGTGGGATGCTCAACCTCCACCTGGATATTTGCGGCGGGCAAGAATGGCACCACCTAGAGCAGAAACCTACCTCTTTGCTTATTCCTGAACCTCGTTTTGTTTAAGAAGAGAAAGATTTGGGTCCAAAAATGAAACATGCAAATTCAAAGGTGAAGGGGGGGTGATGCACTGCTAGATCTGTTTTGGACAGGTGTGATTTCATTGTACTTTTTAATATTTTAATATGCATCTTTAATCATTTTGTTGGTCCCCTTTAAGTGAAATATCTTCTTTTCATGTTAGAAAGAAAAACTACCTATTAAGTTAATGAGGAAAAAAATCAAACACATTTTTTAATTATAATTGTCACACCTATTGTGTTATTTATCACCACATTCTCTGTCTTTATTAACTTTCCACAGTAAAAGGTGTTGGAAAATTTGTGAATATCTGCATGACATTATCAACCAATAAAATTCAACAGGATTGTACTTTTATACCTTGCCCTAGTATAATTTGACCTTTTAATTATGTTTATCACTGTTACTTGTTAGTAGGAGCCAGATTCATGTTGTGATCAGTTTTAAGTAATCTCATTTATTCTTAGCAGTGTTGTATTATGTAGCCCATTTATAGCAATACATTTTTTTCAAGAGCCCTGATGGATATAAGCTAATTTATTCACTAATATTTGCTTGTACTGTATATAGTCAAACGGCTTACTGTATAGATAAAATAAACACTATATTAGGGATGCACCGATATATATCAGCCGCAAAAACCTATTGGCCGAAAATGGCACTTTTGGCAAAATGCCGAAAGTAAAAATTTTCTGCCGAAAAAGCTGTGTATCTGCTTTGTCTCCTCCCCGCTGCGCGCTGCTCTGTGTCCCAGCGGGGAGAAGAGAAACTGTCACACGAGGCCGAGCGCTGCGGGAGGTGAGTAGCTGGCTTTTTCAATTATGAATGAATGGGAAGTGATCTACATCACCACCTGTTCATTCATGATTGTGGATATAGTAAACGTGCTCTGTCCAAATGCTCAAAATGAACAGGAACACTCAGTATAGAGGCTTCCTGTTCATTTATAACAGGGGATGCAGAAAAGAGATTGATGACTCTGTGTTCTCAATCTCTTTTTCTTCTTTAAAAGGGAAATATCAAGGGTCTAGACCCCTGATAGTTCCCAGAAGCACCTAAAAGTAAAAAAATATTAAATAGTTAATAAATAAAATATAAAGCAAATTAAAAGTTTATAAAAAATAAAATTTAGTTTTAAGGAGTTAGAAGAAAAACGGCATTTTTTTCTCATCGGTTTAAAAATGTTCATTCCGGTGCACCTCTAATTTATATTCTTATTTCCAAAAATCTGCTTATGTAAAGTACACCTATCATGAGGGACATTTCTGTGCCTCTTTTGTTGCACTCTTGTTTAACCCTTTTGCTGCCAGAGACATTTTCTGCTTTTTTTTTTTGCACACATGTTAAAATCCACATTTTAGGCCTGAGAATTACTTCCTGAATATTTCCTGAAAGCCGGGACCCTGTAGAATAAAATGGCGGCAGTTTCATATTTTTATGTATGCATGTTAGCATAACTTAAAGGGTTTCTAAACCCTCCGTTTTTTTCCTATATCTACTGCCAGCAAGCAGTAGATATAGGCAAAAACTTTAGCAGCGGTTTAAACTTACCCCGTTTCCGCCGCATGCTCCCGCCCGAGAATCCGAAACTGCTCGGGCGGCCGCAAAGCATCCTGGGGCTGGCGCATGCGCAGTTTGGATTTTCGGCCGGGAGACGAGCAGAGACGCAAGGTAAGTCTATGGACGCTTTCACCCGCATGCAGACACCATGGGAACGGAAGTGCTAGCAAGGACAGAGGAGTCAGCGCTGGATCGGAGAGCCGACGCACCTCTGGAGGGACAGATGAAAATATCAGGAAAGCAGAGGAAGATCGGATTAAGAGACATCATTTAAGGTAAGTTCTGACATTAACATTAGGGGGAGGGAAATTTTTTTTTTACTTTAATGTCACTAAGTAAAAAATACTGAAACATACCCTATGTAATGGCACTTTAGTTATGACAGGTGCACTTAAAGGTGCACTTTAAGGAGACATTAGGGGTTAGTCCCCTGGGCACACATTTAACGGCCCCTGGAAGCAATTAGGTGGCCACCCAAATTGCTTCCAGTGTAAAGCTGACAGTCCGCTTTACTCAAGGTAAACGGACTCACGGTATGTTTACAGGGGCACGCTGCTGCTGATGTATGGTATATGTGAGTGGCAGCAAAAGGGGTTAAGATCTCTGTGGCATTGAGGCCAGACAAGGGCAACAGTCATCTTCTGGGGAAGGTCAACAATGGCAATATATTTATTCCTCAGTTATACAAGACAAACTAGGATCTCTCACAGACAGGCCAAAGCAGCAGCTTGGATCATGGATCTGAATTTTAGGGAAGGGAGCATTTTCAGCAGGATTTTGTGGGCTCTGCAGTAGCAGGGAGCTGGGAGGCTGCCTCTCTAAGATGGACATGCATGACAAACGCATTGTTTTGGTTAGTGGTTAATATTTGCAGCTAACTTTGTGTGCCACTAAAGAAGGTCCCAGCGGGGTGCCAGTTGGAGAGCTTGGGTTTAGAAATTTGCAATCCGATAGTTTATATCCAGCTTGAGACGAGCTAAGTAGTGTTCACTCCAGCCATAGGCAACCACTTTGCCCAAATGCTTTTAAAATGGCTCCCCCCGTGAATGCTCCCCCCGTGAATACACCAATTTTTCATATTTAGGATTCATGTCCTATAGCTGGGAAAGACAGTCTTGCTTTTTCTTTTTCTCATAAATAATTTCTGTTCCAGAAATGGATAAATGGATGGATATATATATATATATATATACACTTCTTGTATATCATCATGCATGTGTCCCCGATTGCACCACATAGGCTCCGGTGGTACCTACAAAGATCTTGTTGTGCATAGAGGCTACTTTAGACCACTATCTATGAAAGTTAGACAATATCTTTGCCAAACCGTAAATAAAATGTGCAATGAAATGTTAAATGACATACTTCTACTAGGAAAATTGCACACTTGGGGAAAAAAAGTATATGCATATTGCTTGATTTTCACACCTATGCTACTTATAAAATGCCCCACAGTGTTTGTGTATTAGGTATGAGGTTTATCTTCATGTAACTTTATTTTATAATGGTCCTGTTGGCTTACTAGTTACCTTCTTCTTTGTAGTGAATCAGATTCATCTTCTTCCACATCATCTTCGTCATCCTCCACTTCCCTGTTTATAATGCTTAGAGCGGACGAGGAGGAACCTCTGGAAAACAGCGAAGCACCTTTGAAAACTAAAGATGAGCTTCTTTTAGAGGTAGGCAGCAGTTTTTTTCAACCTATTATTTTTTGTTATGCACTGAATACAGTGAGTGCTGATTTTGTTTTACATTTGGTGATCATACATATTTACATACTTTCCTAATTTCCCCATTCCAAATTCAAATTGATTTTTGTTACCTGCTAAACTGTCTGACGCTAGATCAGTCTGTTGCTTCCTCGCTATTTTTATGCGTTGGTTGCCTCAATGTTTCCTTTTCTACTGTGCAACTGCTTTTTTCCATTCTTAATATAAAGGGGAGCAGAAGACTTGTATAAATGCTCCATAGAAATAGCTGACTTGCTCCTGCTTTAAGAGTAAGAGAAGGCTCTGTCTCAAAAAAAAACATGATATAAAATGAATGATGCTATGCTATTTTATGACCAAGTAATTGTCAGTCAAACTATCACAACTCTGAAAAATGACTTGGAAAGGAAGGGGGTCTAACATGCTGGTATTAAGGTGGTTGAAAGAGACTTGTCATGACTCTTGGGAGGCTGTTCACTGAGGCGTACACTGATGAGTAATCCTCAGATATATAGGGTCTGGTGTTTTTCTTACGCTAAGACCAAGGCCCTCAAAATGTATGTAGATTACTGGAGTGCATCTGGTAAGGGGCATAAAAAAAAATTCCCAAATATTTTAACTCCGTCAGGCAGCATAGCGGTTAGTGCTTCTGCCTTGCAACACTGGTGTCCTTGGTTCCCGGCCAGGTCACTACCTGCAAGGAGTTTGCATGTTCTCCCTGTGCTTGCGTGGGTTTCCTCTGGGTACTCTGGTTTCCTTCCACACTCCAAAGACATGTTGGTAGGTTAAATGACTCCTGTCTAAATTGGCCCTCGTGTGTATGCATGTGAGATAGGGACCTTTAAATTGTAATCTCCCTGAGGACAGGGACTAATGTGAATGTGCACAGCTTCCCGGCCAATCAAGAAGTCGCACCTCCCGGCTTTCTGATTGGTCATGAAGCCAGGCTTCCTAGACAATCGCAAAGCTGGGAGGCGGGTCATGATGTCAAGGATGAGTCGCAGTGTTGCGAAGGAAGTGAAGCCGGTGTTCTTTTGATAACGCAGCAGATATATAAAAAATTTTAACACTCCTGCAGTTACTGTTTGTGAATCACCCACAGCCCCCCTCCACGCGGTACTCGCAAAGTCCGATAAAAGTGACGTTTGAGACCGATCAGCTGTTTGGATCTGCACGTGCTCAGATCTGCCATGGAACAACCGACAAAGGGTTAGAACATTCCACCGCCAAAAAACTGGGCAGGATTACGTTGGAATGTGTGACCACATCACCGGTCACACATTCCAACGTAGTCACAAACTTTGATAGAACATCGCAAAAAAATATCGGCACTTGATACTGAAGAAACAGTATCTGTGCATCTCTAATATGTTATATATTCCCATTTAAATATCGCTGCTTACTTTTGTTAAAAATTCTATAACAATCTTAAGCTGGCCATAGATGGCTGAAATTTCACTTAAATCCTACTGTATTTGGTTTAATTTTGAGCCTGGAGTTGCCCAGAAAGCACCACACAGCTTGACATTGGTCAATTTAAAAATATGACTGAACCGGGTGGATTATAATTAGCTGAACAGTGACTGCATTTATCAGATTTATTCACTGTTTGGCAGCACCAATGTATTCAGGTAACCATGAGTGCCGTGGCTGTTAGGGAAAATAGCCAGCATCCATCCGCACTTTTTAGCCCTGTATATAGCCAGCATTACCTGGCTTTCCCTTTCTGTGTGTTGCTGAGGATAGGACTGGAGGCCGGGGCATGTTTACCATAATTAATCTAGTCTTCCCTATGCTTATCTTCTGTATCAGTTGTACACACAGTCTGTCCTAACAAAAGGTTAAAGATATCAAGGTCTGTGTGAAACAGCAAGCAGTGGGCAGAGGAGGGACTTGAAGGAGAAAGTTTTCCAGATGCAGTGGAGGAACGGGGCGACAGCGGGGGCGTGGCTGAGGCGGAACGGGCTAGGCCAGAGGAATAACAGCCCGGGCCAGAGGAGACGGCATGGGGGACAGCAGTCACGGCAGTCTCTCCTGCCCTCTGGTGTGGGCTGCAGCGGTCTGTGTCCCCACTGCCCCTGCCGATATAGGCGGGGATTGAAAGGGGCACTGACTGCTGCAGCCAGCACCAGCGGGGAGGAGAAAGAAGGACAGAGTGGCATCAACTAATCGTAAAGAAACTAATCGATGATGAGAATCGTTACCAACAATTCTCATTATCGATTATAATCAATGTAATTGATTAGTTGTTCCAACTCTAATGCAGTTTTATTCTGAAGTAAGATTTGTTTGTAACACTCCATTTGTTTAAATTAAGGATGGTATAATCGGCCAATTAATCGATTATGAAAATAATCATTAGTTCCAGCCCTAATACCAAGATCACGCCTGCTGCAGTTGGTTTCAACTGTTTAGAACCAGATATTTTTATTTTATTTTTTACGTATCTCCGTACATACTGTGAGTGCAGGGCATCATGGTCACCATGGCACCCTTTTTAAAGAAAAGGATCATGTGCATCACGTGACCTGAAGACATCTAAAACGGGCAAGTTCCCATTTTAATAATGGGAAAAAGTTCAGTGGTGTGCTTGGAGTTGGGCTTTAGATATGTTGTCTAAACCAGATGGTAAAACCCCAGCTAGAGTCTCTTTAGTTTGAGTTGTTGCACAACAAAATAGAAATACATCCTAAGGTTGGTTAAAACTTATGCAAGCACTTTATTACTTTACGCTGCGTTTGTCATATCTCATTAAGCATTTATTACACTGAGTGTGCAGTACTGAAGTCAAAGCAAAACCAGTGTTATTGTATACTTGGTTTACATTAGGAATTAAAACTCCAGGCTATAGAATTAGAAGTGATTATAAACCATCTGTTTTCTCATTGATTGAAATGCTGGCAATGTCAGAAATCATTTCAGACTTTGCTCATTTCTTAAATACCCAGCAGCTATGCATTTTGACATCCTTATTATGAAAGTGACATTTTCTTCTGTAACCTCTCCCAATCAATGTCTGTCTAAACAAGGAGCAGGTGCTGCTGTTAAGACGTTATGAGAATTTCTACATCGAATGGAAATGTACAACATTGTTTTTCCCTGTTAAACTTCTATCACCTTATGCTGGGCAATCATTTTATAATTAATTTTTACCTTCAAAAATGCAAAATCTATTCACAAAAGATCTAGTGAAAGACTGCTTAAAATGTAGATTTTTAATGTGCTTTCAATAAAGAGAAAAATATGCCTTTAAAATTTAGGCCTCATTCACACTGCCGCACGTATGCGTATGTGCGTATTGTACCATATGCAACCTATGCAAATAAATGGCTCCATACACACAGCCGCGTATAGAGCCGTATATATGCGCAAAAACAGAATGGAACAGAGATGCATCCAGGCAGCGTATTTATGCGCGTACATGCATACAGCACATTAAAAATTCCATTACGAGTGATGCATTCTGGGATTGCATATAGTGCACGCATATATGCTCGTATATACGCAATATTCAATTTTGCTTGCGTTGTGTGTGAATGAGGCCTTACCATCAGTTTACATATCCCTAGCTCAATTTGTAAACATTTAGCAATTTTTGCTGCACCAACATCCCAAGATGAATGCAGCATATTATCAGAAAATACTGGAGGAAAATGTTGCATTCTTCAGCCTGGATGCTGCACATCGGGTGGACTTTCCTACATTAGTCTGACATATACGGCAAAGTTGACCCTTCAGTGAAGGTTCTGGAGTGGCCATCACAGACACCTGACTATAGCATCATTAGGGCCACTTTGGGGAGATTTAACCACTTCCCGTCAGCCTAACATACAGAAACGGCCGGACGGGAGCCTTCTGGATGCGGGTGGGCATCTTTAGACGTCCTTCGTGTGCACGAGTGGGAATCCGCCAGAATTTTAAACAGCTTGCGATGGCCGTTTACATACAAGCGGTCCGGCACCTGTAAAGACGCCCGATTGCTTGTATGCTGCATGTCTCTGTGCGCCCCCTCCGTACACGACCTCCCTCCGCTCTCCTCCCCGGTCTTTGAATGCAGCAAGTGATGTTTACTACATCACTTCCACATTCCTCTGTCACTCTCCGGTACAGAAACAGGAGAGAAGCTGATGAAGCAGATCTGTGATTCATCAGCTTCTCTGGGCGTCCCTAGGTGACATTAGGGGTCTTAGAGACCCCTGATTTCTCCATAAAGGGGACCTGTCACTGTAATTTGATATCACGTAGGGGGATTCTTATCCCCCTATGTGATAATAAAGTAATAAAGTTTAGTGTAAAAATAAAAAAAAATTGGTCACAAATTAACCCCTTCGTGACTGACGACGTACAGTGTACGTCGCCAGCATCGGGGCTGTTTAAACAGACTCCCGGCGGCAA